TAATATTTTATTTTGCACTATTTATTATTTCATTACTTTATTTATTTAATTTGTTATCATATAAATATCTTATGTGAACAGAGCTCTTGATTTAGAGGGAATTTGATGTTCGTCTTAATTGAGCTCAGCTCTTAGTTCTTTCGTTCGGGTTACCCATTCCTGCTGCTTGTCAATTGTCGCTGTGGAGCTGTCTTTGTTGGGGCTAATGGCATTGTTGTCAACGTGCTTGTGTGTGTGTGTGTGCGAGTAACGCCTGTCAAAGTATTAAACTGTTACTAGACAATGGCGAACCCCCCGTCCCGTCCTCCTATCCTCCACCGATGCGTTTGTCTATGCACATAATGGACATTTATGTCCGGGCGCTGGTGAAAATATTTTGTGTTCATAATTTTTCAACAATTTCATTGAGCAAAGCAGGCGGAGTATTCTTGATTTGGAGTTGAGTCGAGTTGGCTGGGAAAGCTGTTTCACACGGCTCGTGATGCAAATGCACTTGTCCCTCGACTCTGAGCCCGATCTGTAGTTGGTTGTGGCGATTCCAATACGATTTGATATTTCTCGCTTGGCTTTGGTTATTTGGGTCTCGGGTTGATTTGGTTATTTGGTTATTTGGCCGCCTTATCTGAGATCAGTGTCGATCAAAGTGCGGCAGACGAATTGTGAAACATGACGTACATGATATTACGATATGCGGAGTGGGGCAACTCGAGTCCGACTCGGAGACTGTTTTAATAATTTTGACGTAATCACATCACAACAATCTGCCTTCAAAGACTTAGCTTTTTGTGTTTTGTGCTTGAGTGTCGGGTCTTGGCTCTCGGTCTGTAGTCTCGTTCAAGTGGACATTTTTTGGGGTTTTGTTTCCACAAACATTTCTGATTTGTTCATTTAAATGAATTACAATATTTTATCTTTAAATGGAGATCGTTTTGCCGTGACGCACAAGCATGAAGCTTTCCAAGAGCCGCTCAGGTAAGCCTCACGCCGGAGAGAACTTTCCAGCCAGCTGCAGTTTTTGGACGACATTTTCGGTAATTCCAATGGCCATAAAAAGGCTGCCTGGTGGCTGCTGCCTGCCTGATGATCCTCGACGATCTTGTTGGGCAGGTAAATTGCGCACTCGCCGAATAATTTTTACACCTTCGGCCAGACATGATCGCAGCAGCCGCAGCTGCGCGGCAGCGCACGTTTTTAATTCATTTGTTCTAAAACTTAATCAGACCGAAGTGCGAACTGCGCACAGCTAACGACACTCCTCCAGCAGAGCTCCTCTCGTCCTCCTGCGGCTCCTGCCCATCCTCGATTTGTGTCGAGTAAGCAGCAAGACAAGAAGTCGTGATTGCGCAACTCATAATTCACAAACAAGGCTCCAAGTTGAACTTGACTAGGGCTCAGGGCTCAGTGCTGAGAGGGGGCAAGGGGCAGCCAGGGGACGGCACTTCACACCGTATGGTTGCAAGCTACTGCTGCTGCAGCTGCTGCTTCTCCTTCTGCTGCTTGTTGCTTTCGCTTACATTGTTTAATTAAAAACGATGCCGTTGCCACGTACTGAAGACCATGTCCACGCTGACGATGAGACCTCGACTCGAGCTGACTCTTGGACTGCCTGCCAGGCCTGCCTCGCCTGCCTGCCTGCTCGTGTGGAGGCAGTCTTTCAGTCTCTCAAGTGGCTCAAAAGGACGACACGTTTTGGCTTCTGTGCAAAGCTGTTTGTTAGCTTGTGCAGTAGCAACTGCAGTCACAAGAGGCTGCTGCAACTGTTGCAACTGCAACTGCAACTGCAACCACTTGCCACAATTACCGCTGAGGGCCGTAAGAGGTGACGACTGCTGCTTAATTTTAAAGTCTGCTGCCTGCGATTATATTGCTCCAGAAATTTACGAAAATGCATTTGGCGCTTCCTATAGTTGAGGGTATTTTAACTATAAGATGAAGTTCATCTTAGGATCTGGGAAAGATCTTTGATATTTGTTGAAAATATATTTAGAATCAAATAATAAAGAATCCAAACTTGCTAACTTATTAATAAACTAATGATACATATGTATTATTAAATAATTAATACCGAACTAAAACTAATTATTAGTCACAAGCAAATAAAGTACCTAAAATAATAATATATTGTATTAATAACATAAATATCAATTTGTTTTGATGCTCACTTTACTTTAATTTTCTATATAATAATAAACATTATAAT